GTGTAAAGCGCTTTGGGGTTCTTAGGGACTAAGTAAAGCACTATACTAATACAGGCCATTTACCATTTATATACACAAACTTCTCTTTATAAAACAGGTCTGAAAGCATCACTTGACAGGCTTCAGCTGGAGTATGTAGACATCGTTTTTGCGAATCGACCAGATCCCAATACACCTATTGAAGGTATGTGGCTACTAATCCTCCTTCCCACTACAGGGCTAGTGTTATAGCCCTTATTTAAATAAACTTCATCATTGTTTGTCTGCTTGCCCATGTAGCATTTTATACCATTCTTTTGATATTCACTTACAAAGCTCAGATATAGAGCGCATGCTTTGCATGTATGAGGTCCTGGGTTCAATCCCCAGCATCTCCAGTTTTATGGGGTCAGGGATAGCTCAGTAGGTAGAGTGGTGGCCCCATGATCGGAAGGTCGAGGGTTCAAATCCACTGACTGGCTACCTTGAGCAAGGTACCGTCCCTACACACTGCTCCCCGGATGCCCAGTGGCTGCCAGTGCTTCACCCAGGGGATCAATAAAGTATACATTAAAAGAGACAAGGGAAAAAGGCAAAAATAGAAATTGGATAAATAATGTGTTGATAAAATAAATACATTCAAAATAATTTTCTAAGTAAATTAATAAATAAACTGTTATAAAATGTAAATAAAGTGCAAATGAATTATAGCCTTATAATCTGTGAGTGAATCTAAAAGAGGCTTCAGCAGTACACCTTTTTTTCATTGGCAGAACCAGAAGTTACTCTTTATATTTGAGACAAATGAACAACAACAAACATTCACAACAGTCCATTTTTTAGCAAGCTTTAACTCCCCTTTAATATTCACCTCCTAAAGAAACATTTGAGCCTGCCTTTGAGACACGATAAGTAGTGATGTGCGATACCACTGATTTCCTTTCCGATCCGATACCAAGTAATATTCAGGGTGGTATCAACAATACTGATCCAATACTGATACTTTGTACAAAAACTTATTTTATTTATTGTATCTCAAATTATAGCATCATAATGATTACAGGACATCAGATTA